TCACACCCTGCACAAAGAGCACTCCTCACACCCTGCACAAAGAGCACTCCATCTTATCCATCCAGTCTTACATCAGATTTTTTGTACAGTTTCCTCTATCTGGACATGGGGACCTGGTTTTCATTCAAACCCAGTTTCTAACTTCTTATTTAACAGATTCCTGAAATTAGTTAAAATTGTATTATGTTCATAGGTAATTGCGTCAAAGCATTCAGGTCTGAAAGCATCTAGAAAGGCCAAATGAACAAATTGTTGTATCTATTGCCACTATTTTATGTTTCTCTTACGCGCAAGGCAAAAAGAAAAATGCATGCTGGAACGTACTGCTCTGAACTCCGGGTTGGCAATTAGATTGAGCTGCTGGACCGATCTGAGATATTGCATTAGTACTTGAAGCTGCGGGAGCAGTTTGTTCATCAAGCCCAGGAACGCTTTCAGAAGCTGCATCATGACGCCAACCGTGTTCTGCATGTCAGAGGACATCAGCACCTGGCCAGAAACAAGAGTCAGCATGCACCCAACATCCGCAGGAAAAAGGAGCACTTCAATATCAAAAACCGATAACTGATAAATTAAAATGTCATTTTAAACCTCTATATTATAAGACCTTGCCCCATTTACTTGTTGTATAAACACACAACAAACATACACAAAGCACAAATAGCTACCCTGTAAATGACCGTTTCCAGATCCAGGTTGTGGAGAACAACCACCGCAAAATTGTACCACTGGACTGGGGAGAAAGTGCAGAAGGTCCTGAACACCAGCTCCTCTGACTGGTTCAGTCCAAGCTGGGCTGGGTCACTGCAGTACTGAAGATTGGTCAGCCAAGCCAGCATCTACATTCAAAACACAAATGAAAGCTCTGAAACCACTGGCACTATACCTTCTGAAGAAAAGTGCCAACTCACAGACATATACTGTACAAATCAATATCACACAGACACATGGACACACCTGAAGAAATATTACACAGATATATGGACAGATCTGAAGGAATATTACACAGACATACAGACACACCTGAAGAAATATCACAGAGACACACAGATATGATATGAAGAAATGTCACAGACAGATATTTCAGAAAACAGAAAATAAGAAACATGACATTAACTCTAACAAACACTACTCCATTGTGAAATGGAAGAAACTGTATGGGATAGTTATTTCTTTATGCAAAAAGAAAAATGTTAGCACCATGACATTTTTGGAAATTCCATTGGTGACCATCATGGCATGGGAAAATCTGTTATTTGATGCCTTCCCAGAAATCGAGACGCACAGGCAGACTTTGCTCCACAGTCTTCAGTGCTGCTTGCTGAACTGCCTGTGACCTGGCTCTGTGTCGGACCTGCGTGGTCACTCACGTGTATGCTGTTGTTAGGGACCACTGTTAGCAGCATATCGCTGATGACCTCAAGAGGAACCCCTGTCAGGTTGTGTAGTTCAGATGCAAAGTCTGTCTGGTTTCGGAACAAATTGAACACTGTGACCGAACCTGGGGAGCAAACATCACACAACTCATCATTACTCAATACTAATCATTACTCATCATTACTAATCATTACCAATCATTACTGGCTATTGAACTACAGGCGAGGTTTTTCTCCTGTTTTGCGTGGAATTAAACATCAGAGAAAGATCACATAAAATATTCATACATTCACAGATGTTAGTATTTATGTGTTCTAAACTATAAGTAGAAAATATAATATTCTCTCTTTTTCAGGTTGACAATCATATACTGTATACAGATTGTATATGTATCTGCGCACTGTATGCAATTAAATTACAAGGTCTAATCAACAGCTCTTCTGTAAATTGCTTTGCACTATTCATGTACAAGCACTGCTTTAATGTTGATGCCCTTAATTTCATTTTGCCTTCTAAAACAGTTAAGCGCAGCACCAGCCCTGAGAAGCATGTAGATACTGTACCAAGTGGAGCCGTGCTGATGTTCAGGAAACCCAGGCTGCTCGTGTTGATGCCCAGGTCACCGATGATGGAGGAGATCCTGAAACACAGGCACACCGTCAGCACTGAGACCACCGGACACCCGCAGCATGGACCGAAAAAGAAGAAAGAAGACAGAGAGAGAAACGAGTGGTTACTTACCAGTTGGTGTTGACGTCATAGGTGCTGGGGTCCCCGATCAGGATGTTGTACAGGTTCTCTGGCATGGCGCTCAGGTTGGTGGGATGGTTGAAGCTTGAGTTCAGGAGGCTGTGAAACAAGCTGAGGACAGCGTGCAGGACAGGAAGGCCAGTCCGGCACATCGACCCCGGGGAGAAAGGACTCAGGTCGTTCAGCAGCTGCCCGGAGCTTAATTTCTCCAGGTCACACACTGAGGATCTCAGCCGCTGCACTGCTACAGTCTGCAGACAGACAGAGTTCCAATCAATGACACACTACCTGTCTACATCAAAGCCCCTGCTGTGCTCCAATTAAGAATGAGGTCAAATTAGCCTGCCTTGCACAGATGGGTTCATTTCTTCAAAAAAGAGGTGTGAGGGCACAATCGCAAATGTTTTCACATTGGTTAAATTTAAACAGACGTTTGCAAAGACTTGATTGTTTTTTAAGCTGAGTGATTATGTTTAATAGTGCTGTACACTGACTGCAACAGCACTACTGCTCCAAACTCGCGCTGCAAACCCCATCTACTCCAAGAGCTTTTAGGAAACATAAGCAATACCACCAGAACTGCATGGCTGCTGCTCTTTTAAGCAGTCATGGAAAGTCTGTCAGCAGCTCCTAACTCTGAAGCCTAAAGATGTGCGGGACTTGTGTCAGCACCACTCTCTGGACCTGTCACTTCACTCATGCAGTGCCTGGCATGAAATCAAGGTCCGGCTCATCATTGGACAAAAACACAGAGTGTCTGATCTTCCCTTTTTGCAAACTGAGGATCATATAATATGTTGCAAAATACTTGAAAAACACTATGAGCTCTATGGGTTGGTTTATATTCCTAGATTTGTTTACCTGAAATAACAACAGATCTGTAGGTCTGTTTAATGAATTATATAATCCACTATTTTTAGAAGGTGCTTCAATTGCTTAGTTGTGCAACTTGAGCTGTACTATTTTTTTATAAGCCAAGTGACATCCTCACCTTTGTTTCCAGGTTCTTAAGAGCCTCAGAGATGTTATGTGTCTCCCAGTTTGTCAGCAATACTGCGGAGAGAGCCTGTTGTGCCTCTGACAGCACAGTCAGGTTACCTGGAGGGGTGAGAAGGGGTAAAAAACAGGAGCGAGAATGTGAGAAGGGAGTGATGCTTTTCCATGGGCTTCCTCACAACACCTCCAAGATGAAGGGATATGCCGGTCAAAACATTTCAAATATCATATAACAACTACGACTAGAGGATTCCAAAGCTAGAATGTGTTACCGAGAAACACGTTGAATTATACAGGAAGAATGAAGAAAAATGTTCATATTGCATTCATCAGTTTTTCAAAAATCACATGTCACATGTCACATAAATGAGGTCACATGTCACAAGACAAATTAAAATGAATGAGGATCCTGTTATGTGATTGTACATCATGTCTTTTTTCCATGTGACTGGCAGACTCTCAAATCAAGATCATGCATCACACAGCAACAATACCACGAGAATAGCTGCTGCTAGCTCCAGTGACCTGCAAGACTTTTTTAACAAAAAGCAAACATGAAAATCCTGTCACGTCAACTAGTCAACATTCCTACAATTGTGACAAGAGGGCACATGTGCTACACGGCAGGAAATTAACAGTAGATTTGATGGAAAAAAATGATAGAGGAGCTGGGCCTTTGCACAAATGTATTTATCATTATTAAATCAATACAGTTAATACATTAAAAGGGGCCACATAGCAAAAAAGAAAAGTGTCAAATTCAGTTTTATTCCGATAATGAGATTTTTCTAGATTGTTCTTATGACATTGGTTAAAGGTCTCTGTGCTTAATTGAGTATTTCTAAAGCTGTATTATTTGGTTTGAACTTGTACAATGCACAGAATGTACCTCCTCAAAAAACATCATTTGACATTGAGCACAGAACCATAGAAACACAGAGACTCTGGAGAGGGTTTTTTTTTTGCTACTCTGTTGTTTTATTGAACATGCTGCAGGAAATGAAAATGATTTTAAGATTTTTCAGACACGACTGGACATCTGTGGTTTCAAGGAGAGCTTAGGTGTGCTCTCAATAAAACAGTTTGAGTTTTATCATTGAGCAGTTAAGCTAGAAGACACACACAACTGCTCTGGCTGCTGGGGTGCCCATAGAAACAAATGTAGTTCTACTGACAGTGTGCACACTGTTGGCCAAGATAGTTCTCTATTTTCACAGAGCTCAGTTTTATCACACTCAATCCACTCTGTAAAGTAGGACGAAAAGAAAAGTGGGTTGTTGACCCTTCTTCAAATGTGTGAAGTTGTGTTTTTCTTTTTTTTATTTCTGCTTTTCAGCTTGGAATTAACTTCAACTTGTTTTCCTTGCAGCTCACACACATAATACAGCTCCCCTGTCAAATCTGTAGATTCTGTACTCAGTTCTCTGGAGCGACAGTTTTTGTTGTGACATATGTTTAAGAAAAGAATTAGCAAAACAGAACAAACAGGTTAAGTTAATATGGGCTAGCACCATTTTATAGGAAGACAGAGATAAATGATTAAATTATGTTATTATATCTTATCTTGTTCTTATTATTATGGGTGTTCATTCTAAAATGCATAAATATATCTGCATCACTAGTCAAAGTTAGCTGTGACACACTGATGAGTCTTAATTAGGGCAAAACAGTTGCACAAAGCTTCTCCCACAGCACTGCGAGAGCTACTTAATATTCATACCCATAATTAATTTAGATTTACCTTGTATGTTTTCAGCCAAGTTCTTGGTCAAGTTCTTGATCAGAGGTGCATGGGGAAGCTCTGATGGCACCAGAACCACAGTGTCCACCAAGACCTGCAGAAGCCTGTATCACAAAGCATGCTTCTTTAGACTTTTAATCGTATATAATGGAGAAAAGTCCATCTGGCAAATTAACACAGAAGAAGTTAAGTGGCAATCAGAAATTTAGCTGTTAGATGTGTTGCCAGGTTAACAGAGGCACACTTAACTCCTAGAGATCCCGGTACAGTAATCTATAGTAAATAAAAAAGCTGTCCCAATCATCAAGTACTATACAATTACAGTCCACAGGTGCTGGACAAGCAAGACTGAAGTTTAAATGAAAGCTACAGTTTTTGTGTCAAACCATCACTCAAAGAAGGGTTATATGCTAACTGAACTTGTAAATTACAGCTGTGAAGACTACAATTCATCAATCTGCTGGAATATATTTTTTGGGGGGGATTACATTTAATTGACTTTGCTACATTTTTAAACAATTTCTGCAAGTTGGAGAAATATATTAAGCTAGGATTAAAATCAATGATCTCAAATTCGCTGTTTCCTTGACTTAGCAATAACCAAGAATAGGTCAGAATACTTACTCATCCACCCAGTTTGTTGAGTTAATTTTCCGAAGACTGTCAGCGTTTGCCTTTATGACTTCCAATACCTGTTTAATTTCATTCATCTCATAACTGCTGTTGGCCAGCCTCAGGATGCTCTGCAGCTCCCCGACAATGAGCATCGTAATGTTAGCAGTTTTGGACAAATCGTCGTCATTAGATGAATAAACCTGCAAAATCCTTTGAAGGGTGTCTCTCAAGTCATTGAAAGTGCTGCCAACTGACTGAGAGGCTGGGTCCGATTTCACTCCCAAAATTTTCTGCAAGGAATCTGATATTGCAAAGCTGGTGGCCAATATAGTGCTTGAGTTAGTGGTCTTATTCAAGAAAGTGGCTAACATTTCCAGGATCTGGACAGAGGCATTCAAGTAATGGATTTCCTCAGGGGGCAGTAAGGGTGATAAAATATTCACCATCTGCTGCAGTGGACTAAGCAAAGTGACTATCTGCAAAGAGGAGTTATATTCAAGGCTTCGCCAAAGATTACTGGACAGCAGCTCGGAGACATTGAGTAAGCCCTTGACCAGGTTGCCTGCTGATGTTTCCTTTGAAACTGGGAAATCTGTAAAGTTAAGCACAGCCTTTAGGGAGTCTGTAACTGTCCTTAAAATGGTGAAGAAATTCTTTGTGATTTCAGTAGCATTGGAAATATTTGGAGTGGACAAAACACGGAGAAGAGTTTCATTTATATAGAACCTTTGCTCCTCGGGAAGATATAAAACTAAGCCTCTAACCAGCCTTTCTGCAGATTTTAGCTTGTCAGAAGCATTTGTCAGATTGTGCGTGGAGACTGAGAGATTCCAGAGAAGGTGTGTGATGACAACAGGGTCTGTGATGAGAGGGTTTAACACTTCTTTAACAGTTTGTCCAGTTGGAAATGTCACATTACCTACATTCACTAGGAGGAGATCAAGTGAGGTAGCAATCATTTTGGTGGAATTCACTACATCCTCCAAGTTATTCGGAGCATAAACAAGATGTACGAAGCCTCTGATCATCTGCACTGAAAGGTTTAAATACGTGTTCTGCTCAGGGGACAGGAATGAGCTAAAAACTGCAAGTGTTTGGTCTAATGCCTTCAGATAGGCACTCACACCATTCTGTGAGCTTTGCAAGGCCTGGGAATTTAAGAGTTCTTGTAGAATTTCAGACATGTGGATGTAAACCTTGATTTCATTGGAGATGTTCATGTTCTGGTGCAGCAGGCCATTCATGGTGGAGAGAATTGTTACAAAGAAATCAGTGCTGTTCTCCAGTTTATTCTTAGTTATGTTGACAATAACAGCGCTCAGCTCCTGGAACGTTTGACCCAGCCTCTGTGCATAGTCTTCAGGTGGTTGCTTTAAGAAGGCATTGATCAAGTCTGTCAAATTGCTGAGGCTCTTTAAGATTTCCTTTAACTTAGCAGGGTCCTGCTGAGAAACTTGGCTAAAAATCTCAGTGTACTTTTCCCATGGTCCAGACCTGGTCATGTACAAGAGAAGATTCAGCATAGTCTTGATGGGATTATTTTGGTTTGGATCTCCAGTCATGTTCACAAAAACATAATCCAGGACTGAAATTAGGCTGTTGTCTCTCAGAAGCCTTTGGATTGACATGATAACGTCATTGACATTGGATGGCGTCGAAAGCCCTCCCAGTAAGGAGAGGTAATTGAGGACGAGCTCCTCCATGATCTCCTGCGATTTCCCTTGCTGACTCTTCCATAAAGTCTGATGGTCCTTGATGTATGAGATTATGGTAGATATTACCTTGCTGAAGTTGGAAGACCCTGATGTGTTGAACTGTGCAAATCCAGTACAACTTTCTAGAGCATCCACGGATAAGTCAACAAAGAGTTCATAACCAGATGGGAGATTGAAGCCCATGTCAGTGATAGCTGACAAGACGGCCTTGGTTATTCTGCACAGCCATTGAAGAGCCTGAACCACAAACGTCATTCCAGAAGAATCGGTGGTTTTCCACCAGCTAGCCAGCTCAAACATCCTCACAAACATCAGTTCTGTGCCATTTGCATCCAAAAAGTTGTCAAGGATGCTGAATGCAAGAGACCCATTCTCTACAACTTCCAGTCTTATCATTTCCCTTATTGCATCCTTCAGAAAGTTATTGGCATACCGACCATCAAGTGAAGCATTGAAGACAGCTGCTTCCCAGGCTTGATTTAGCAAACTGATGTTCCATTTTGTCCCCACATAGTGTAGGAGGGTCTGTAGAACTTCTGCCAAAAGCTGGGATGACACTGTGTCATCCTCCAGAAGGAGATTCAGGGTAGCCGTGACGAAAGGCTCAACCTCTTTCCCATCAAACTGGATTCCAAATTCGACTTGGCCTTCTGCAGTGAACGCACTGTTGTTTTGTACAATATATTTCCAAGTTCCTTCAAGCAACCTGAAACATAAAGTGTAAAATAAAAATACGGTAAGGTTTTAAAACTATTTCCCCAGAAAGGGCATAGTCAGGTTGTTTCCTTAAAATGGAGAAAAATAATGAAAAGAAAAATAATAAAATGTCCTAAATCGCTGTTATGCAATGAATGCTTCATTCACAGTGCTTAAGGTTAGAACAGTGTGCAGCACACTAAGCAGTAGTGATGAAATGAGGGAAGGAAACCTTACATTGTAGTAAAATCTGGATTGGTGACAATAGCTCTAAGAAGCGCGTCTTCAAATTGTGTGCCGTTAGAACTCCAGATCTTGGAAAACGCCCTCATGTTACCTGAAAAAAGATAAAAGAAACTTTAAGTGTACTGTCTTTTCTGAAAACAATGTCATCTATACCATCACCATGTTCCATAAACATAGGTATTACTGTCAAATCATAATGAAATCTGTCTGAGAAAGTGATTCACATTATGAAGTTAGTTTTTCTCCGTGAGCCATCAGATTGTATTTTAAATATCAAAATTTTGTTTCAGTTTATTCAGTTTATCTTAAATAATTTGCTGTGCAGTTATAAAACAAACATAGGTATAATTCTGAACTGTGTAGTAGAGCATCGTTATAACACTCAATTTACAATAATCTTTGTAAATAGTTTGTTTCTTTGAGTTTGACTGAAACAAACAGTGGAGTGTAGAACTGTGTCTCAGAGTGAGACAAGCTGCTGACTGACCATGCAGGGAGGTGCAGTTCTGCTCCCAGGTGCTGCTGTTCTGGATGATGTAATTCACTATCCACTCCAATGCGTCCAGGTAGACTCTCATCCCCGGGACAGCTGCAGTGTTGTTCAGTAAGGGCTTCAGAATGGATGACACAGCCAAAGTGCTGAAGGAAAAGAAGGAAGTAGCTGATTGATCTGAGCAGTAGTTTCCATCTGTGTGTGCATGGCTTTTCTATGGGTGCAAATATTTTTCATGAGCAATCATGGTTCCAAAAGAACTCTGGATTAAAGCTACAAAAATTAACAGACATGGCTATTATTGTCATTGTAAAAGCCTATAAGGCAGTCAACAAGGAGTAGGAATTATGGCTCTGGACTTGAAAATTTGCAAGTTCAGATCCAGACTAGAGCACTTGTGTTGTACCCCTGAGCGAGATATTTTGTCAATTAGATAGACGTTCAGTCAAATGAATTCATAAATATATGAATGACCCAGAAATGAAATATAAAGACTGAGTGTAAGGGAGTATTGCTGCTTCACAGTACTGGGTCACAGGGTTCAATTGTGGGCCTGGGGTGCTATCTGTGTGGACTTGTACATTCCCCTCTGGGTCCTCCGGCTTCCTCCCACAGTGCAAAGACATACTTGTAGGTAAACTGGCTTGGGAAAACAGGCCCTGGTGTGAGTGAGTGTGTGCGTGTCTGTTTGCCCTGGGGATGGACTGCCCTGCGCCCCTTGCTTGCCCGGACAGGCAATAGGCCCCCCCAACCCAGGTTTGGATGGATGTGTACAGTAGGGGGGTAGAAGACTAAGGGGAATGAAGGAGGAAGAAGAGAAGTGTTGTCTATCATACACATGGGAGGCTGAAAGACGTTTCAGCTCTTCTTTGTTGCTGGCGTTGTTTGTGGCTCCGTAGCCCAGCAAGTCTTCAGTCAGATCCCTGTAGAGCTGCCTGACACTGAGCGAGTAATTCTGGGCTGAGGAGAACAGGGTCTGCAGGGTTTTCACTAGCTCTGCTGCTGTGATGTTGACATCTTTTACTACGATCATCCCGACCTTCTGCAGGAAGAGAAACAGAACGTGATTCACCTAGTGACACACACATTCACTGACTGTATTCAGTACCTACACGTTTCAGTGCAGAAGCTGTGTTTTATAAATTGTTGATCTACACTGCTATCTAGTGGAATTAACATGGAAGTGCAATATTACAGAAACTAGTGGAAAAAACTGTTCCACAAATACTTTAATACAGCTCCTTAGCATTCCTGTTAACATTTAATACATTTTAATAAGTAAACTATACTGTACACTGAAGAAAATGGTCATTTTATTTTTTTAGGATGTCGATCAGGCTTTACATGGAGTTTAAATGTTTTTCTCCAATAGAGTATTGGTAAATGCAGTTTTACTACAGAAGCAGAAACATTGATCACAGCTGGAGACTGAATACAGGCCTCAATGTTCCCCTGAGAGGGCTGTGAGCATCTTGGTCATGCAGAGAGAGAGCATACTCACAGTGCGGTTCAGGAGCTGGCTGATGCCACTGGACACAGAGAGGACCTTCTCTGACACAACGCCAAGGCTGCGGTTACACCACAGCTCCACCCTGCTGTCGCTGATCCCCAGTGCCTTGCTGATATTGCCTCTGGCAATGTCTGCACAGCTCACCCCTGGTGCTGTCAGCCCAGCCTGCAAAGATGACACAAGAGAGGAGTACCTGCCATACAATTCCAACCACAGACAGCCTTGTCACGCCCGACATCCCTCCCTAGAGGGCGCTCCACTGCTCCCATTATTGTTCATGTGATAAAGCTCTCCAGGTGTACCCTTTTAGTTTTATTATTTAAAGACCAGCTCCTCCAGTCCTCGGGGCTCATCATTAGGGTAAGATGTCACGAGGCCCGCCTAGCACCAGGAAACCCTACGTCCGTCTCCTGAGGGCATAGGCCTCATCCCCGACACCTCACGCTTCCTGAGCCCGGGGTCTGGAGGATCTCGCCCCGTCACCCTTGGACCTCCATGTTTCGTTTGTTCGTGTGCTCCCCCCTCCCGGGGTTTTAACTTTGTCGCGTCCCAGGATGGATTTCTAGTTGATGGACTCTCGGACTGTGCTTTGACCTGCCCTTAGACCCGTTTGGATTTGGATGCCGTTTTGTCTTCCCCGTACACTGTCTCACGGACTGTCACTATTATTTTTTGCACTATTAAACCCCTGTGTGTTCCTTTTTACCACACCTCCTGTTTTCTCCAGCTCTTACCGCATCGCATAGGGTCTTCTACAAGATCTGACACAGATTTCAGTCCGTGTTTGTGACAGCTTACAGTGAAATAGATGACCCTAATATTGGGAGACAACTTCCAACTTCAATGCTTGCTGACAAAACCAGGCCAAAAAATGTGTATGGTTAAAGTATAATACCCAGTGTAACTGGCTCAGCCACTGGATATAAAAACAGAGGGATGATACTTTATCAGGGATATAAGATTTCACATATTATTTATTGAATTGTGTTGCCTAGGGAATTGTACAAAAAGTATATAGTGAACACCTACCTCACCAGCCTCCAGCACACACCTATGCGTTTAAAATACAATATACCCCTCCATTATCAGAGAGCCATTTATTTCAAAAGAGGGTCACAGCAATCTCGAAGCACAGGATGGAAAGCAGTACAACACCCTGGACAGGATAGCAGTACAGTGCAGGAAACACTAATGGACAATTTAGAGACGCCAATTAACCTAGCAACACTTGGTATTGGGAGGTTGGAGGAGACACAGAGAAAACACAGTGGACACAGGAAGTTCTGAGGACAAACTCCACACAGAAGGTGCCCCAGGGTACAATCGAACCCAGGACCCAAAATGTTGTGAAGCAGCAGCTCTGATCATTATCCTGCTCAATACATTCATTGTAAATATTCATTCTGAATATATGAACAAGACCTGGGTTGTAACAGAGATATTGAACTCCAGCCCTGGTTAGCCTTCTGTCTTTGCTGACAAAGCTGTGGTTGGACTGATGAACAGCTGTATTCACCCATTTTCTCTTTCCCGGAATACTAGAGAAATCCAGGTGTCACAGACGCCGTGCTGGCCTGACACACGAGACGCTGCTCCCTCCACTGTTTCACCCTGTTAAGCAGGGCGTTTCCAGAACTGGGCATATTATTCACAAACAGGTTAGATCGAAAATAAAGGTATCAAGATAATGGTGCCTGGGACTGAGTGGGAGGGCTGACTTCAAAGTCCCACAGAAAAGAAAGTTTTCCCGTGTCCTTGTTTTCATTCAGAGGTCGGCTCCGAATTTCTCCAGATGTTTGGTATTCTAAGAGTTAGTTATCTCACCTGCCCTTTACTCAAGACCAACTCAAGGAGCTCTACAGAAAGAACAAAGCCAGGATTCCTAGTGGCAGCCCTCCAGAGCAGCTCACAACTATCTTTCCCCTTCCAAGAGGAATGCATTTCACTTCCCAGCAAGCACACACAAGGCTTACAGTAAAACAGCTGACCCTGATACTGGAAGACAATTTCTTCCAGTTTGCAACTGGCATGTCCAAATACAGTAATGGGCTGTTTGAGGCTTCTGAGGTTTTCTTGACGTAATGGCATCCTGCACAGTGAGCCTTACCTGTCTGATGATGTCACTGGTGTCCAGCACTGCCTGAAGGACCGAGCCTGCCCAGCCTGTGTCATTCGCTCCAGCAGAGCCCATGGCTTGTCGAACCTCACATGTCAGATTTACGAGCGCCTCCTTCAAACTGTCATGCAGCTCTGAAGAGAGGGGTAACAGGGATCGGGGATTTTTCACTTATTTTCAATGTTTTTATTATTTTCAATGCTTAGATCAAAATTCAATCATTAATCTTAACTAATTAAAAATAAGGAACGAGAAAAAGGTTTATTCCATGCTGGAAAGAGAAGAAAAGAAATAACATTTCGTCTGTGAAGCCTTCTTCGGGTGTCAACTGAAGAAGACACGGCTCCACAGCCGAAACATTGTTTCTTTTCTTCTCTTTCCAGCATGGAAAAAACCTTTACCTGCTCTTTATTTTGACGCAGTTCCCTACTTGAACTATAATAAATCATATCTGCAGTTTACATGTAGGAGGTGACCCACTTCATCCACCGCCACTGAAGGGCAGCTCCCCTGATGCACCTGTATCCCGGCTACACAAGCCGATCAGGCGGATAAGTGAGGCACTGTTTCCAATTCCAACTGAATTAATGAGACCTCTAGGGACATCGGATTGTGTAAGCCCAGGGTGGAATTTAACCAGTACACCCCTCTGTTACAAAGAGTGCCAGGGGATATTTAATGTTCAAGCAGTCAGGACCTCAGTCTAACATCGGAAAGACCGCACCTTAGTAGGGAGCTGGGTTTGGAAACCCGGGTGCAGAGGAAACGGTACCACCAATGGAACATGCTGGTCCAGCTACACCACTTACAGTAGCAAACGTCCCTTTGACATCTCCAGTCCCAGGACTAACCAGGCTCAGAGGTGGTGATGCTGCTAGTGTTGGTAGCTCTCTCTTATTTCTTATTAAGCATATCCAGCACATAATTTTCCACTAGTGATAGAGCATGCATAGTTTCCAGATATTTCTAACAACTGATGCATGAGGTAATGTTTTAAAGATATTGCTTATAAGGCTTGTAAAAGGTATTTATTACTTAGTATTATTGTTATACTAGCACATGACATATACGGCATTACTGGAATATTTTCTGATGTGTGGGATCACCTGTTTCTGCGCAGAAGATGCGTATAAGCAGCTTGACAATGTCCATATGCGCTGAGAAGAAGGCCTGCACTCTGCCCCAGGCGGGAGTGTCCCTCAGGATGGACAGGGTGTAGTTCAGAAACTGCCCCAGCCTGACACAGAAAGAACAGCTCAGAGATCGGGACAAACACACGGCTGTCTTCGGGTTCAATTCTAAAACAGGCGGGTCACACACAGCAGCTGTGGATTAGAATCAGAACATCAAATGGCCAGGTGGGATCTGGGACAGCCTGGCTGTTCAGGGGGGTCCCTGTCCTGTTTTGGGGATCCCCCACCTACAGGCTTCCAGTTACATCATGGAAGCCTTAACTGACCTGATAAGAGGATTAAATTGATCCCTGTACTTGTCAGTCAGTTCCCTCAAATGTTAAATGTTGCATTTTAACTACAAGGGTTTCATAAGTAATTTAAGATCCCCAACATCTGGGTATGAAAAACAAATTCAGAGGCTCTAGTCAAGCACTCCTTTAGGTCAGTTAAGGACTCGATTGAGTAAAGAGCTGGGTTGCAGGAAAAACCAGCAGCTGTGGGTTTAGGGGTCACCAGGACCAGGGAACAGAACCCCTGAATTAGGTCAGTTATAGCCAAATGAGAGAGATCAACAGAAAATCCTCCGTTAGTGCCTAGCCCTTCTTAATACATTTAAATATGAAACCTGTTTAGAAGAAATTATTTTATATAAATATGTACTTTAGATCAATTAAATGTCTAATCATGTGTCATCATGCCAGCTCATATTGTGTTGGAAATGCAGGGTGATGGAGTGGCCCCAAAAGATGTAGCAGTGGTCAGGGATCTGAACTTGTAACTGGATGGTTGTGGGTTCAAGTCCTATATGACACACAGCTGTTGTATCTTTCAGCAAGGCTGTCCCAGTGAAATACCCAGTTGTATAAATGGGTGCAAATGTAAGAGACTTCAGACAAATTAATTAGTAATAATCAGTAAGGCCTCCATTATCTCCACCTGGATAGGAAAAGAGTTATTTTCCCTCTGCAAAGATGTAGCAAGACAATTGGCACAGCACTTTGAACTCACGTTTCCCAGGAATCCTGATGGTCTGCTCCAGTGATGATGTCCAGCAGGACAGGGAGCAGTGATTCATTGAGGCTGCTAGTCCAGGTCTCTCCATGGGGGAAGAGAGAGGACAAAGCAGGGAACACAGCCTGAAGCAGCCTGCTGCCATTCTCACTGGAGATATGACTTATGAGCACCTGCAGACACAAAGCAGTAAAACAAAATAAAAAACAGATGAACCCTTGCATGCCTCCATCCTATTAAATACCAATGACAACCCAGATGCAGTCACTGCACTTGAATGTTGATGAATGACACTTTCTTTGCCTTTGGCCTATTAGAAATTATGGGTCCTGAAGTTTTATTTTTTAAATGAACAAATACAGTTGTGAAGGCTGAGGCAGAATCTGATGTTGTGTGTCTTGCATGCTGTACATCAGCGTACTGTAAAGAACAGCTTACCCTCTCAATGATCGTGATCACAGTGGACATATTCATGTCTAGCATGTAATCACCTCTCCATTTGAAGACAGTGTTTCCTGTTCAAGACAAACAAAACAATTAAATAATTATACAGAAGTACAAAAGCTTTACAGTTCTTCTCTAATTATTACTGTTGAAAAGAGATTTTAAACATACAATCCATTAAATATATATAACCAAGTCTTTCACTATGAAATGCTTACACTTTGGCTTAGTGAAGAGAACATGTAATTCACAATGAAATACATACAGTAGGACAATTATCAAACAGAACAGATACACGTATATGAAATTTAATTTTATTGGATTGTACAAATCTGCTCATAAGAGTATAGCTTCAAAGACAATTAGAATTTGTAACTGCATGATTGTTTTGTTTAATGTGATCAGGTAAATACCTGTTTTATATTTCTTAGAAAATCCAATAAACTGTGATAATATTTTAACAATTTAATAAAGACAAGAACAAAAACAACACTTGTATGTTTCTGTATTGCACTTTTCTTCTCAAAGGATGCCAATGTGCTTGATCTACAAGAGGGGACTCAGTTCACCCACCACCATCACCTGGGTGAGCTCTGCACCAGTAGCCTTGCTACACAGGTGGAGGTGTGAGAAACCGTGTCACCAATCGAATTAAGGAGGAACATAAGAAAATTCAAACTCAAATCAGAATTTGAGCAGGGTACCAAAGTTAACATTAACTAACAGACACCTTTAATAATGAAGAACTGAAGATCTTGTTTTAGCATTTTATCAGACAGGTTAGGGCACTTCGTTCCGCACAGCATTTGACTAAGGAGCAAATTTGTACCCTGTTTTCAATATGTCCTCCTTCGAGTTGGCTATACTCATTAAGCATGGTAACTGATGATGAAAACCGAGGTTTGCCAGGGGAAACAGGATACATTTTTGAAACTGTTGCCTTTAAATCCTGAATGGTGTGTGAATTGACCCATCACAGGGAAAACACTCCTGGATTCAGACAGATTGAATGGCCGAGGTCAAGCCAGTTGGAACCTCCTTCACTCTGGAGTCAAACTCCCCTCACAGAACAATCTTGGTGCATGGACACCTCTGGCATACAAATTTCAGAAGATACTGTATAATTTCCACCCTATCAGTATAAGGAGCTGTAGTACTGATCTCATATATAACCTTTCAAAACATTGTATATAATGATTTTTTTCTTTAGAGACTTTAGCTCTGATCTCTCTCAACTTCACATTGAGTGGTATCATCAATAAAATAAGTTGAAACATGTCAAACAAATGGAGAATGGCAATGTACCACTGCACGTTCTGCCCTTGTTCATGTGAAGTTTCCCGGGAGCCCCAGTTTTCTCCCAACTCCAAAGGACATGCTGGTCAGGCTGACTCAGGTGTCTCTAAACTGGCACTGTGTGTGTGTCCTCTCTTGGAATTGTGACTATCCAGGGCATAGCCCTGCCCTGTATGACCTTCTGAGATAAGCTTACCTGGAATTAATGGCTCTCTAATAAAGGATGGATAGATGGGAAAAAAATGATAACTGGATAATAATTTTCCTGTGGCAAGAGCTACGTACCTTTGCTGTGATCCAAGAAAATGCCAGGGATATTCTGAATGAAACTCAAATCCAGTTCTCCAGTATTGTTAAAAGATAAAAAGTGCCAGAACTCGTTAAGGATGCTAAATGAAGTCAGCAAAAGAAACAGTTAGCATATTAGCGATCAAACGATTCTAGGTAGACAAAAAGAAACTTGGATGTATGTTTCTATATAACGAAAGAGCATTGCTGTCACTAAGGGAAAAAAAATGCCCCCATATCGCGTAATTACAAGATACGTATCTCATAAGTACGAGATAACGAATTATCTCGTAATTACGAGATAGCAATGCTTACATCAGTGTATATACAACCCATTACGTGGTGCACTGAACACATGTAGAAGCTACAGTGAACTTGGCTGGCACTTTCGGTTTAATGATTGTGTCCGGCGCTGCAGAATTTGTACAGATTTTGACTGGGGTTTAGTCATAATGAAATCTGGCCATTTTTAGCAAATATGAACAGAATCATTACAAGCATGAGGACCATTTTTTGGGGGATTTAAAGATCAAAGCATTGATGGTTCCGTTATGAACAGTTACGCGTGCAATCACTTCCACTGCTTAAAACTGTAAGTCCGCACGTAGTGATATAGGTATTGTAACAGACACAGCCGACATTACAGGTTGTGCGAGCCGCTTGCCAGTGCAGTGACGTCACCGCCCTTCACTGTGAATAGTGACACTGGAGACCCGGGTTCGAGCCCCAGCAGTGGAGGACCAACCTGAGGCAGGAGCTGTGATGGCGCAAACCCACGAGAACCTGAAAGCGCTATAGTATTAAAGGAATAAATTAAAGGTTTATTCCATGCTGAAAAGAGAAAACAATGTTTGGGCTGTGAGGGCTTCACAGCCGAAATGTTGTGTTCATTTTTTTTTCTTTTCAGCATGGAATAAACATGGAATAAATAAAGAGAAAAAAGCATGGGATAAATAAAGAGAAAAAAAAAGAAACACGACATTTCAGCTGTGAAGCCCTCACAGCCCAAATGTTGTGTTTCTTTTCTTCTCTTTTCAGCATGGAATAAACCTTTAACGTGTTCCTTTGCAGCCTACGCATGCTGGCGTAGCTACCTACTTGATATAGGTATTATACGACAATTGTGCTATCGCGTGAGCGCATAAAGTACACGAGAAATACTAAGTCATAATTACGAGATAATTTTCTCGTAAGTATGAGATACGTTTCTCGGAATTCCGAGATAAAGGTGAGGATTTTTTTTCCTTGGTGGCAGCAATGCGCTTCTGTACTATATCATTGCACGTAGATTAAAATAGTCTTACTTACATCTGATTCCACACATCGGAGGGATCAGCATGAGAAATGGTCTCCAGGTATATCCTGACAGCTTGAGTCATGTGCAGCAGGACAGATGAGACTGACTGTGGGGCCAGAGCTCTGACCAGGTTCTCCACTTTCCCAATGACTTCAATGCTGAGGTTGCGCGCCTGGTCGATGTCCAGCTCTGAGGACGGGGAGGCCAGAAGCATGGAGCCCTGCAGCACATCCATCACATCCCTGACAACAGACTCAGGCACGGGGCCTGTGAAGACACTGGAGATGTTCACAAGGACATTGGCTAGGTCCAATATGGCTCTTGAAATATCTGTGCTGTTAAACTTCCCTGCACTTCCCGTCTCAGATGCCAGGTTTTTCACCATCTGTGAAACCTCAAGAATAATATTTAGATGGGCTCTTTGTTCAGCAGATAGAAGAGGCTCCACTGCTCGGACTATGTTTTCCAGGTTTGTCAGCTGGGACAGAAGACTGAAAGATGTCTCGTTCTTGAACAAGAGGTGAGAGATTGCTGAGGTGAAGGGGCTGTTTTCTAGCCACAAGTCAGTAACATTAGAAAAGCTCCTGATAATCTTTACAAAGTCAGCAACCTTGTCTACCAATGTAGAATTAAGCATCTCTTGTCCCATGTACTGTGCTATGTTTCCTAGGAAATCCAGGTTAGAGTCAATCTGATCTGTTAATAACTGCAGCTGTGGTAAAACAGCTTCTACAACAACCTTTATGACCGATCTCAGGTCTGATTCATCAAGAGGAAGCTGGATGGACTCAACCAAGCCTTTTGTCTTATTAAAAGCAGAAATAATACTGGATGTGAACTGAATATTGGAAAAAGATTCAGATAAGGTCAGTTCTGTCATTTTGAAAAATGGATACAGTCTCTCAGAGATGTTCCTCCTACTGAGAGTTATATCCTCCACTTTTTTAAGATACCATTCAATTATTTCTAGGTATAGTGTGACATTTTCCATGCTCTGGTTGCTGTAGTTTGTGCTGTTCATCTCAAAGTAAGGATAGGTTCCATTCATGAACAGTTGATTTAACTCATCCAGTAATTGAATTCCAGTATTAAAATCCCCTGGATATTCTATGCTCAGCTTCTGTAAGTTTATTTTTATTATCTTCAATGTATTGACAATTGATTGAGAAGTATGCCTGATCCAGTTCACTTCAAGTCCTTCCTGTAACAACAGTGAAGTAAAGCTGTGAAGAGCTTCCAGCTTTTTTGCCAGGACACCTTCCTTGTCGAGTTCTTTTATCCAAATCTCCAGAATGTATCTCACAGTCCAGAATGTGTCTTTTATTTCCTTTGGCATGGGTTTTGCTACAAGGAAATCAAACACATTGTAAATGAGCTTCAAAGTGCAATGCAGGGAGCTGTTAGAGGTCAGATTATAACACTCTTGAATGCTGACAATCTTGTTCAGTTTTGATACCAATTCAGACACGTTGGAAGCTCCAAGCAGTTGAACAATGGTGTTGAGTTCAGTTATGTTGAAGTTTGATGACTCTAGTGTCTGCTGTAGAGACGTCAAGCTGAAATTAGATGAGGTTGCAATTTGATTGAGAAAGGTGAGTGTCTGGATTATTGTCGTTTGTGCACATGACATGTTAGTAGAGTTGTCCCAAGGAAGAAGCATGGAAATCAGTTCTGCAGTGAAGATGAGAGACAGGTTTCCCTGTTGATCAAAGCTGAAGAAAGAGTTATTGACATGGATGGCTTGCCTGAGCAGAATGGACAGGCTTCCATTGTTAACTTCCTCTAAAGCTTTTGCTACCTCAGCCAGGATGTGTGACGTTTCATTAAGGAGAACTGAGCAGTTCAGCTGGCTCTCTGTGCATGAGGTCACTACCTTGATCAGCTCCTCATACTGCTCCTTAACTGTCCCAGGCAGGAGTACAGTAAAACTTTGAAAGAAGGACATCAAACTGTCAGAAGAGTTGTTAAGCTTCTGTAGACTCTCTGGGGAGAGGAGAGGGAGAACACGCAGGGCTAGTTGTTTGAGATCAGAGCTGAGCAGCACAGAGATATTGCCTTCCAACTGGACATAGGGGCCGAGAATCAGGAGCTCAGTTTTCATGTTTAGAGCAGAGATGAGGAAGGTTTGTAGCTGTCTGAGGTATCCTTCTACAAGAACCTGCTGAATGTTTCTGCTTTGAGCTTCATTTTTGAAAAACTCTGAGATCTTCAGCACAAAATTTGCCAAACCAGATATGTTCTGATGAGTGTCATTAAAAATGCTGAAATAAATCATACAAGAAAAGTGGTTAAATAACACATTAACAAACAGTAGCTAGAAAATGAACTTTAAGAACTTGTCGTATTTTGCACATATTAAGACATTTGTATTTCATGGATGCAATTGAGAGATTTCTAGTTTGCCAGTTGTGCTCATAGTGACAAACACACTACATCAGAGCTACCAAAATAGTCCCGTCTTTGGACAGATATTATCCTGAGATACAACCTTAAGCAGTGAACAGCCTGCCAAAGTTCCCAACATTTCTATATTACATTCATTGCTGTTGCTTCACTTTAAATTCACATAACATTTTTTTCAGAATTCATCATAAATAATGGAGACAAGCAGTTCCTGGCAATCAGACTAATGTACTGATTGCAACAACAACTGTGATTGTTTGTTTCAGGGAAATATAACTGGTACCTCCATTCATCTGTGCTTGTTTTGTAGTTGCAGATCAAATTTAATTGCAATCGTAAAGACTGGTAACTTACTGCTCATTGCACAGTGACATACAGTAAAGGAAAAAGTCCCCCTTAAAAAATCCTTCCAAACATTTTCCTCAATGGCCCAGTCCAATCAAGGATCACAGTAAGCCAGAGCCTAACCTGGCTGGCAATGGGCACAAGGCAGGAAAACCTGGATTACTGATCAGGGTGTATTTCAAACATACAGAAATACGGGAGTCACAGTCTAGATACACTAGATAACCTAGACAGCATGTCGCTGGACTGTAATGGTGCCTAAGTGTGGAGTTGATTCCAAGACCTAAGTGTTCTAAGCAAACTGTGATTATCACCACACTATCAATGCACAACAATGAAAAAGCATCCTATTAAGTCCCACCTTAATTTCCCTTTGGGATCAATAAAGTCTTATCTTATCTATCTAACTCTCTATCTAATAAAATATAGTGTTAAATTCTCTGAGTGTGAAAGATAATGGGAGTCCCATCACCAGTGAGACGAACACAAGTTTGAATGAAAAGGCAGGGAATGGCATCTTGCAGTTGACTAGGTTTGAGCAGGTGTCTTATGCTCCTCTTTCATGTCAGACAGGTTAGGTGATGTTCATAGGGATGAATATTCTAAACCCCCTCCACAACAGAAATTATATTGCTTCTCACTTAATAGGGCCGATGCTAAGCCATA